TGGTTCAAGGTGTCCCTGCTCCTGCAGGGGGGTTGGGCTGGGTGACCTCTGGGGATCCCTTCCCACCCAAACCATTCTGTGATTCTAAGTGCAGCTGCTAATGGAACAGAAGGGTCGTTAGCGCTCCTGGCAGAAACACCGTGGAGGAACGAAGAAATGCAGGCTTTGGAGACCACAGTTGCAGCACAGTTGCAAGAATTTGGAGATAAATTCTGAATTTTTCTCCACCTATAGCGATGATGTTACCATTTGTATTTGCTATTCTGGAGCAGAAGGAAGAGAGAATTATATGCCTTTCCCCCCCCAGCAGAAGAAATCTCTTCTTGCCTTTGAAGAAGCCAAGCAAAGAATTCAGCTTTAATTAGAGCATCAGCCAAGAATCCCCATGTCAGCATTGGTGTGGAACATTCTCTGGAAATAAAGTTGTGTTCTGCAGTTCAACTTCAAAACACAAAAAAAAGAAAAAAAAAAAGACAAGAAGTTCAACCTAAGCATGAACAAAATTGATTTCTTCTACTGACAGATGTTACTGGAAAGAAAATAATGAAGAAATAGCAACTCAGTCAAGAGACCACAGTTATTTTCTTCTTTAAGAGGGTAAAATTGTGACATCTCTGCAGCCACTACATGGGGTCTTTTGATAAGTGTTGAGTTTTCATATAGAATTTCACTTCCTCTTTAAACTATAAATACAAAATACATGCTTGACAACTAGATGGGAACTCCAATCCAAGGAGAGCTCCTTGCCTTAAACTACAGTGTTGGGAAGAGGGTAGGGCACTCAGCTGATTTTCCAGATCAGCTCCTTTCTCTTGCAAACAAAAATTCATTCTCGAGTCCTCTTTTCCCATTTTAACAATTACCTGACGTGAGGGACCTGCAGAGTGCCCTACAGATTGGTACCCTGGGAGAGCCGAAGCTAAGATGGGGTCTCCAGGTCACCATGAAAACGTTGCTCATCCCACGGTACCACTCAGAGCTACTACCTTGCACTTCAAACCAGCTGAATTTCTTCTAATGCAAAGTAGCCAATAAAATAACAATAAGGGTAAGTTATACGTCCAATAATCTCTTCCCAAGGCATTTTTCAGTGCCTTTCCTGAGCCAAACCTAAGGGAGTAAGGTATCCATCACGAGGAGCTGTGGCCTCCCTGTAGACAAAGCAGGAGCAAAGATGTCTTGTCGGAACAGACGGGGTCTGACAATATCCTGTGGTAATAGGACACGGTGGAAATTCCAGCGAGAGAAATTCGTGTTAGTTATTAGGAAAAAAATAAATATGAGGGTCATCAAGCACCGAGGCAGGGGTCCCGAGAGGTTGTGGAACGCCCGCCCTCGAAGGTGCAGGTGACGCTGGGGTGACCCAGAGCTACCTTCGAACCTGGCCCTACTTTGAACAAAGACTTGGACCAGAGGACTTGAAAGACCCCTTCCAGCCTAAGTCATGCTGTGAGAATTAATACCTGCTCACATAAACATGACGAGAGCAAGAACCTGGCTTTGATGCCGAGCTGAGGAGGCGGTTCTAAGCCAGACCCTTCCGTCCTCTCTGTCGCTCTCCCTCTTTGCTTCCCCCAAAGCCTATTAACTCTCTTTTATCGGCAACGAAAGGGGAGGAAGCGCAAACGCCAGATTTCATTGTAAGCAGAGTAACTCCC